GGAGAGCAGAGAAAAAGATCCTTTTTAACCCTTACTGATTTTCAGCTTCCTGAATGTCATTTCTTTACAGGAGAAGCAACTGGCTAAGTCTTTGAATAACCATCACAGCTAACAGATCCCTAAATGGTTCTTTAACTACTGTTTGGGAGAGGACTCTCTTTGCCATTTTGCTTTCCCCAGAGAGAAAACAGCTCCCTTACCTGGAATCACAGCTGCCTATGAAGCAGATTATTCAGCTTGAAGGGTTACTCTTCCTTTCCACTCTTCCTCCACATCAGAAGCCTTTATGCAGATGCAGACACCAGCAAAATCACATTTACCCAGACTGGAGAAGGGGGATATAAAACTGACTGTAGGATTTCATTGCAAACTTAGCCTTTAAAATAACTGTTTTACTTTCTAGGCACCTGAAGTGCCCCTTTAAAGAGGCAGACCACACCTTTTAAAGGAAAGGACTTGCCTGCGTAATTGTACAGTCTCTACTTCCTATTTTAGCCCACAAGGCATTTATTCAGATGAACTGCTTAACTGGAAAGGGAGGGGAAGGAAGTATGTCACTGCCCATCTGCATTTTCTAATTAGCAGTCTGTAGGACTAATGGGAGAATGAAAAAGGGATGAATAACTGCAACAGAATTAAGAAAGAATAGCAAAGAATTCTTTGGGTATTTTTATTTTTATTCCCATGCCATTTCTTTCCTTAGTCTAGTCTAGGCAAACTTTGAGGCAGGGATCATTCTTTATTTATGCTTTCATATATTTATTTTTATTTATACATACTATATATATGAATAAAGGACAGACTACCATTATACCTGTAATCTGGTAAATTTGAACCATCTTAAAAATCTTATTGTTTTAACTGAGCTCAACAACAATTCATAATAAATTATGATTACTAAAGTATCAAGAGGAAAAAAAAAAAGAGAGAAAACTGGAGAGAAGAGTTAATCAGAAAATACCCTACATCCAAGATTGGCACACTGTTTTATATCCGACTTTGAAGCTTAGCCAGTAGCCTTCAATGATGAAGTTGGAGCCAACCAGTAAAGTCCATTTAAAAATGAGGTAGACTGAAGAGAAGGACATTAAACTTCAAACTCTCAGGTGCAAACTGTGAGGGGCTCTGTCTTCAGATAAAGAATGGAACTGTTGAGTCTGTCTGTCCTGCACTGTTACTAGGTTTTCTCTAAATCCACAGAGCGGTGACCAGAACCACAGTCAGCACATCAGGCTTGCATAAAAATTACACCAATATTCTGGGAGCAAAGTATACTGAGAATAAAGGGAGCATGTGTGGAGCAAGGAGGAGGATCTGGCAGCATCAGGGAAGTTGTGAATCATGGGGACTATCAGGAGAGATGCATATAAAACCCAGCAAGTAAGGAGGGAAATGTGTGACAGTTTTCTGGATAGCCAGAATTTACTTCACATTATAGTACAGAGGCAGAAAACTTTCAAGAATTCTCCTGCTTTGATTTTCAGAGGCTGATGAGGTTATAGAAAACGCATAGCTTGTTTCTGAGCATACATTTTTCATCCCTTTCCTTTCTCACTCAGACTGCGCCTCCATCTTCAAACAAGCTGGCCGAATCACTCCCTCCATCACAGGATCTAACAATTAGTGAAAATCTTCAGAATTTATTTGCTCTGTTGAATTCCAGCAGCAGAGAACAGGTGATCCTGCATATCAGAAGTTTTGCAAGCTATGCATATTAATGAGGTTTCAGCTAACTGACATCTCTTGATGCATAAGAGAACACACCATAAGATTATTAACATTATCATTGTACATTGTTTCCTCCACTGCATTTGTACAGTGCTTTTACAGCGAGAAGTTATATTTTATGACATTTTAATAAAATAATGTTCATTAAAATGTTTGACCATTCAGAAAAGGAAAGCATAATCTGTATCTCTTAACATATGTTATTCAGCTCTGAAATCTAGAATGTGTGGATTTAATCAGCTGTAACCTTTTTACTTGGAGTAGAGAGGTGGTTTGTAGCCCACTTTACAGCCCTTTGGAGAAGATGCATTTTGTTACATGAGTCTATACAGCACTAATGCACAGAACTACACACTTAGTAAAGTATGATGCAATAAATGGTCTGTGGACCTCAGTCTAGCAAAGTATATCTTTAAATATAAACCCTCTTTATTTCCAATACAATAGACTATTAAAGTTTAGATACATAAACTTATGTACACAAATCAGGAAAAAAGCACCAAAGTTTAAGGGATAAGTCATATTTACTTGTTTTGTTTGTTTGTTTGCTTGTTTTTGAAAATATAGCTACCTGGTAGCATAACAGGTAACATCTAAGAAACAAACAAACAAAGAAAAAAACCCCAAAACATTACTTTGCCAGTCTATGGAGTGGTGAACTATTTGTGCCTGGTTAGAAAACTGAATTTATTATCTTCAGAAACATCGATCTTCCCTTTTTTTCAGTATGACAAATATTTCTTAAAAAGTGGATGTGTAAGTTAACATCTTAACATCACAAAAACAGTTGAATCAGAAGCATGGTATTTGAAACCTCCTTTAATTCCTCCTTTTTGCTGATTGTAGCTATATATGATGATATCCTTACACATGATATCCTTATTATATGACTGCATGGTATTTTTATAATATAGCATTCTAGGTATGATACAATTCATGTAAAACATACATAATATGATTAAGACCTACAAGCTGAAGAAAATTTGCTCAGGAAGGAAATATTTTTGACTGCATGATCATTAAAGAAACAATTGCAAGGTCTTTTATTAATAACCAATTCTGTGTTTAAGGAAGGCTGAAAATTCAAACCATTCAAACTCTTCAAAATCACCTTATTTTCAAAAAAATAAGAAGAATGAATTATTTTACCATGAGAATAAACATTTGAATAGATTGATAAAATAAGTAAACTATACCTTTACTTATGGAAGAATCTGATACAGTAACTTATTGTTATTTCTGCTTTGTGGTACAGTATCAGAAAAAGAGAGAAGTGGAGAAGAAATTGTTATTTGGATAGGCATCACAAAAAATATCCCAGAATGTGGAAATAAATACTCTGCACAGTTATAAGAAGTGTATGAGTACACTGCATTTGAACTGTGTTTAATGTACAGAATTTAAAATATTGCCCAGTAAAAAGATGAAAGCAAAGCCTGCCTGTGATTTCTTCACTGAAATAAGGGAAAGTGTTCTTGCTGCTTTCGTAAAAAGCTCTGAATGCCAAGTCAGACACCCAGATTATAAAAATAATTCTGAATTCATAAGCATTAGCAAGCAAACATTCACTCCTGCAAGTGAAGAGCAGGAGTGGCAGAACTAGAAAAAGAAAAAAAAAAAACCTTATGAAGACATGCTGAGCAAATAAGTTTGTGTAGGAGAGAAAATTAAAAAGGTCTTGAAGGTTAGGACATCACCAGACCTCTATTTCAGGCTAACATTGCCTTGCTTTATGAATGGCCAGTGATTTTACTTTTCTGCTCCCTAGTTTCTCTGGTCCTCAAGTAGATATCTCTATTACACAGGAGAGCTGAAAATCTGAAGAAGCTAACTAGCTATAGAATTTACATTGAAAAGTACTGCATTATTAAATGTTGTGTTTTTCAAGCTCACCTCAAACTCTTGTTAAAGGAAATCATCTGCAGAGGGAAATCACAGAAGCTACCCACTGAAACATCGCTCTATAGTGGTCGTGTTGCTATTACTGTTGGAATAGCACCTATTCCTGGATTAGTGTTGTAGACACTCAAGTCATCCTTGTGAGTGATGTGCAACTTCCAAGGGAAGATACGCTTTTCAGCAGGCTTCCTTCTGCTCTGAGAAACCATGAGTTCAACATCCTGATCAGAAAGCAGCCGAATCAGATCACCATCAAGGTCCCGATAATTCAAAACAATGTCATCTTGGTCAAACTCCTGCCTGGTAGAGAAGAAAGGGGTTCATTCCTAGCAATAGAAGGATGCATGTAAGGTACTGCATGGTAAATAGTATCTTGTAAATCTAAGTAATCCTGCCAGAACCACACTAAGCTTTGGGTGTCTCTCTGTTCTTGATGCAGAGCTAGTGGTAGAATCATATAGCCACATTCACTTTGTGTTGTGTCTAAGATTATGCTTGTTTTCTTTAAGGGGAGGTCAGGCTAAGTAATGAAGAATGTTGCGAAAAATCCTCTGTTACTAATATTTAACGCTCTAATGTTTTAATGTTCAGCACTAGCTTAATGATCCACAGACACTATATGATGGTATCCTGCATTCCAAAGCATATTACACAAAAGGTAACTTGGGAACATGGCTCTAGTCTTAGAGCAAAAAAAAAAAAAAACCAAAAACAAAACAGATACTGAATTCTACCTAACAGAGTTGACTTGGAAACATGTGGCATTCAGCACTTGCTGGCAGTCCAAATGCAGATTAGCATCTGCACAGTTGGCCCTAGGCCAAATCAAAGTACAAATATTTATTCAGGATGGTTCAAAAATGTTTCATACCCAAAACATGGTGATGGCCAGGTGGAATGCATAGAACATAGGAAAGCTAGGACAGGAAAGAACATGACACAAGTCTGGAGTGATATTAAAATTAAACTCTCTCCTTGCCCTGTACCTTACTAATTTCATTAGATCTTTGAATAATGGAATGCTACTCAGATCCTCTTCCACCAAGATATCCCTGTAACAAGAACAAACAAAATTATCATCACATATCATGAAAAGAGAAGTATCATCATCACATTGGCAGTAACCTAGAAGACCATTTCTTATTACCTGATGGTGCTCACTGTCTCCTCATGGTAATAACAGCGTACTCTATTAACTGTATCTTCCTGCTGTGGTAAATCTTTTATGATCTTCACAAAAGCACAGGGGAAAATTCCAGTAGTACTATGAACCGTTCCCTGGAATGATAGGAAGCATTAGAAATAGAGGGAAAAAATGCTATTTTAGCTACATATTACAATCATAAATTAATTTTCATGGAAACAATAATCATACATTTTCTGCTTTATAAAGAAAAGAAACAAAAAAAATATGGAAGTCACCTGATATCATCTCTGCAACAAGATCATAAGATTGGATAGTCAAATGGTGACTAGTGGATAGTCATATGATGGGATAGTAAAACAATATGCAAAATATGAAAGTCAAATGGTTACCAAGGAAAGCTGTGGTGTTTGAGCGAGCAGAGATATCATATCAGCAAGCACACAGCATGTTTTCCTCATCCTTTTTCAGAACATTGCTCTGTTGCCCAAGTTCTCTATAATCAGGCTGACGTGTTTTGTGGTATTAAGCATGAAGTACCTTAAGGCAAGAAACCTATTAATCTCTAAAATAGAGTTTTCAGTTCTTTTCTTTTCTGTGGCCGTTTCTGCAATCTGACTGCTTAAAAAAAAAAAAAAAAAAAAGGAACATTCTGGCAGAAGCAAATGCAAAAGAAAACCAAAGAATAGAGGACAGGAAATTTATAATCTAAAAACCATCAAAGAGGGAAATGAATTTAAACTTAGAGTCGATTACATTTCCCTCACAGTAATGCCTGATTATGATACAGTTGCTCTTTGAAAGAAGGCGACAGATATCAAGGACTAAAACAATCACTTCCTATCATATATTTCAAAGTATGATAATAATTCAGTATTCTTATTGCAGTCTTACCTCCAACCAATCTTTGTTTATTCTGCTGAGTAGATAAATCAAGTCTCCCTTCTTAAAGCTTAGTTCCAGTTTATTGGTTCCAGAAAAATCAAACAGGGCCTAAGAAAAGTAATAACTCTAAAATTATTAATTCATGAAATTACAGAAGTGAATCTGCCTTGCTGCTTCTGTCCTTTGCTGCATACAGAGAGCATAAACGAGCAGGATAATGCACACACTGTCACTACAGATTTATTTCTGAGGTAAGATCATACACAGCACTGTAGTCTGCAGTCCTCACAATTTCTTCTCCTGTTCAGTTTAGGAAATAAAGCTTTGAAGAAGTGGCAAAATCAGTTGTATAAATATGTCTCTGAAAATGCTGCATGCTTGGATTCTTCAACTGGCAGATCAGATCAACTGGCATGAATATAAAGAAGGTGAAAGCACAAAAAAGCAAGTTAGTCAACAGAAGTAAAGGCAAGTGTCAATTTGAAACTGGACAACGCGAAGCCCTGAAGCCCTTCCCAAATTATATTATTTCTCGCTGCAGTTCTACATACTTCAGATTTGCTACAATATGTCACAAAGAGACTTAAAAAGTTACAGGAGAGTTGTGTCATCATTTAAGGATAACTAGTCATCCAAAATTCAGACCTATATGCTGAACTGAGAGATATGGGGAAGTCTGGGAGATTGTCATATGGTTAAAATAGAACTTAGATGCCCCCTTCAGGTAAATAAAGGGAGATAAGCATGTGTTTACAAGCTATTAACAAGCTTAACAACCTTAACAAGCTATTATTTAATAATTAAAAGTGGATGAGTTGTCAAAAAAAATCTTTTTAACCATTGTTTTAAAGAACATAGTAGCCAGTCAAACACTCTCAGAAAAGCAAACACCAGAAGATGTCCCTTATTCTGTGGTGAGATGGTTCTTTTGGTCTAATTAATGTCAAAATTGAGCGCTTTATAAAAGCTTTCCTTAGAGTTTTCCTAATAAAAAATTGACAGTGACTCCTGGCTTGCTAGACGTTGATACCTTTACAAATAACTCCTTCAAAAGCCTTTTTTCACCTATTAAAAATCTGTGGTATGTATAATAAGGTATATATAATAAATACTAACAAAAAGACAGATAAAACTCAAGAATTACCAGTAAAGCAAGACCAGTCATCATCAGTGTATACAAAAATAAAATTCCTTTTTTTTTAATGACCTTACAAGAAAAAATCGTATGTTCCAGAAATTAAGTCTCTACTCAGACGTGGGCTCCTTTCAAGACAGTTTCGTATGTGCTTAATACCAAGACAGTATACCTCACCAGCAAAGCTTTCAAACATATGCTAAAGTCAATGAAACTGAAACTTGTGTTTGCTTTAGATGTATGTGTGGATATAAGTGTGGACTTTTTGACAGTAACTTCTGCCTAACTCTTAGTCTTGAACCTCCTGTCATTCTGAATTCATAATGGATCTTCCAATTACTAAGGTAAGGAGGAATTAGGGTTTTTTGGGTTTTTTTTCCCCATCCTTTGCTTCATTCCCTATTGTTAAAAAGCTAT